TTTATAAAGATTTATAAGTTTAATTATATATACGAAGTTACTCGCAAATTACTAGTAAAATATAAATTGAAAAATAAACTAATTTTTGTTATTACACTATTCGTAGTGGATAAAATATATACGAGGTTGATTAAAAATTACACACTTCTTCTCTTTGTTTTTCAACGTTAATTCGTCTTCTTCTTTTCGTGATACGCCTCCACCAGTCGTTATTATTGGTGTACGTTGAGGCGTATCTTCGTTATTATTGGGAAATGGAGGGGGGCCGGGGCGTTTGGGTGTCGTTTCGTGATAGCCTCCACCATTGGTCCACATGAGGATGAACTCAATTCGATGTCATGATGCCGCTATTAGACGTAGATATGTTCAGACATCACGAGTGGGGCGTTTCTGTGCTGCCATTGGTCGAGGATATGTTTTAACGTCATTAGGGGATGTTCCTATGCCACCATTCGTCGAGGATATGTTCTAACGTCACAAGTGGTTCGTTTCTTTGCCGCCATTGGTCGCGGATATGTTCCAACGTCACGCGGGGACGTTCCTATGCCACCAATTGTCGAGGATATGGTCTAACGTCACGAGTGGGGTGTTTATGTGCTGCCATTGGTCAAGGATATATTTTAACGTCACGAGGGGACGTTCCTATGCCACCATTGGTCGAGGATATGTTGTAACGTCACGAGTGGGGCGTTTCTGTGTCGCCATTGGTCGAGGATATGTTACAACGTCACGAGTGGGGGTTTCTGGGTCGCCATTGGTCAAAGATATGGTCTAACGTCACGAATGGGGCGTTTCTGTGCCGCCATTGGTTGAGGATATGGTTTAACGTCACGAGTGGGGGTTTCTGGGCCGCCATTGGTCGAAGATATGGTCTAACGTCACAAGTGGGGCGTTTTTGTGCCGCCATTGGTCGAGGATATGTTTTAACGTCACGAGGGGACGTTCCTATACCACCATTGGTCAGGCGTTTATGTGGAGGCGTTCCTATGATACCATTGGTCGAAAATATGTTCTAAAGTCACGAGTGGGGACGTTCCTGTACCACCATTGGTCAGGCGTTTACGTGGAGGCGTTCCTATGACACCATTGGTCAAGAGGCGTGGCCTAGAGACACGAGGGACGTACCTACGTCACCATTCGCCGAGGGCGTGGCCTTGAGACAAGATGGACGTTCCTACGACACCAGGGGCGTGGTTACGTCACCATTGGCCGAGGCTGTGGTATTAAGACAAGATGGACGTTCCTACGTTACCAGGGGGCGTGGCCTAGAGTGACAGGTCGCTTCCGCTCCAGAACGAACCTGTCACATCTACTTTTGAAATCCAGTGTTTGACTGTTATAGTCAAGATTATTATTGTCTGATACTATTTTGGTTATCTACCTAGTAGATAACCATAGCGAAGTTTGGTTGTTGGCCTCCCGCCTTTGTTTAGCTGGAAGCATCCCTCTTGCTTCCAGAAATTTCAGCACTGGTCTGTTCCACGTTTTGGTTAGGCTAGAGCCATTTTTGTAGAAATCTGCCATTGGTCGTTGTGCTTAAAAGCCAACGAACTGTACCTGGTGCCGATTCGTCAAATGGAGCATCCAGTTTTATTTTGAGTGTAATTATGTTAGTACCATAGACAGTTATGACAAGTAATTTTTGGTTATGACTTTTGTTTGTTGTTTTTTTTTGTTTTGTTTGAGTTATTGAAGTCATTATGTATTGTTGCAGTAGTTAGAAAATGCTGTTGTTGTTCCAACCTGATTGTTGTTTGCCCTAAACGTAAACTTTTCCTGTTTGTCCAGTTTTCGCTCTTACGTGGGGGTATTGTAGCATTTGCGATTCATTGATTTTTTGGTGTATATTGAAATCCCCTCGTATATATATATATATATATATATATATATATGAAATCCCCTCACATATGTTTTAAAAATCGCAGAATATTTTTTAATGTGTTTCAATTTCCGATTCGTACGTATTAAAACACAGAATTCTTTCAATTCAATTTAGCGTTGCCAAGTAATAAAAACCATTTTAGAGTTGTTTATTATTTTAAAGATGTGTACGCTCTTGGCATTTTCTTTTAATGTTTTATTCGAAGTCGCCTTATAATTTTTGTACGTCGTAGAAATGGAATCTTCTGCGTTTTAATTCATGTCAAGTGTTTGTTATTTTAAGTTATGCGATCAATTTCTAAAGACAATTTCGTTACTCTCGGTAAAGCCAGCCGCTGATCAAGGCGTGTTCAGTTTTGTTGGAGTCCGAATTTATTTTCAAAGTCGAAATCTTTTCGTTTTCTTTTTCTAGTCATGGAAATGTAGCATGAAGTGACAGTAGCAGTTGGATACTTGGTATTGAGCAGTTTTACATTAGTTTTTGAAGATGGCCTCATGTTGCCATTGTGCTGTGCCTGTTCCAGTCTTTAAAGGAGACGAGTTTTCAAGGTTGTGTTCCAGCTGGTGCTGGCTTCCGCCCTCATCTTGTTATCCTTGATGGTCATCCCGGATCTGCCTCCAGTATATTTCCAGCATGATTCCAGTTGCCGACCCCAGACATGCAGATTGAAGTTTAGTGAGGTTCAGGTAACTTTTTCTGAGTCTAAAATTTAAAGTCAAGATAGACATTTAAAAAATAATAATAATTGCTTTCATTGTTTAAAAATATAATTTTTTTTATTTGTAATAATTTTTATATTTGTCACAGTTTATACGTCAGTAACATTTGTAAGTTTTTGTAACATCTCCTGAGTTTAAAAATCAGTAGAACATATGTAAGTTTTCTTTATTATTTTGGTAAGAATCTCTGTAACTAATATAGCATTTTTGTGCTGTCTGTATTTGAGCAACTGTTTGTGGTATGACACAAAAATAAATGTTAAATTTTGTTTTCTTAACATTTTGTTTATTTTTTAACTAACCCTTTTTTGAGTTTTATTTGAAAAAGATATGTTTTTATGTTTTGATTTTTTTATAATTATTTCCCTAGTTACAACTAATGGTTGTAATAGTTATAATTAGGCATCTCAAAGTGGCGCTCTATACTAAATTACTAGAGGTGTTTCCTGTTTCTTTTTGTGTTGTTATTTTGAAGAGGTTATGTTAGTACCCCTTTTGTTATTTTTTTCTGTAGTTACCCAATCTGACCCCTTGTCATTTACTTATCCACGAGTCTAGCTCTCCTAACAAACCCTGAGTGCCGTTCGCACAAGTAGCGATTATTTTGCTTGCCTTATCTCCACCCCCTTAGTTTCAGTCCCCAATTTTCTACCCCTTGTGGTAGGCAAAATATTTTCGTTACAAATTTTGAAATTGTCGGTTCTACTTCTTCCAGAAAGACTTCTGGTACATCTTCTTGGTTACTAATTACTTCTTCAAGTGTGTCAGGGGCTTTGTATAGTTCGCTGTAGAATTTAGTCATGAGTTGTATTATGTATTTCATTTGTGTCTGTAATGCTAATGAGTAGAATAATACAACATTTAAACATCACGGAAGCAGATTATAGTGCTGCCTGAAAAATGTTTAGCAAAAAGCGTCAGAAAAGGCACTGAAAACATTACATGACAGTTTCCATGAATGCTTAGAAGCGATTAGTCGACTGATGACCAGAAGTATTAGGTTCATAAATCTAAATTTATAATTCTCAACAGTAAATTTTTATTATTTTTATTTGTCCATAAGTGGTACGCACGTTTTTATAAATTACATTCTTTAATAATCCAGTCATTACTTCCACTGCAATATTGGTCATAGGTCGTCCAAGCTTTAAAACCATTACCGTTGGTTCTCTTGAATTCGTTGAATACTTTTCTTACACATTTAACATCGTCGTGAATATCATCATCTCTTAACTTGTCACAAGTTACATGACACCCTTCAGGATGTGATGGTGGATCGCACCTATGAAATAAAATGTTACAATCAAACTTTGATATAAATAAAAAAGAAATTCTACAAATATTTATTTATTTGCCAATAAAAACAACATAATTGGGAAATAGGTGATAAAGAATTACAAATCATAACGGAGATTCTGATCGTTTTGGTTATCTTTTCGTATGCGCATCTCGTGACCTAGGTATTTATAGGCCATTACCTAGTCCATGCATCTAAGGCATCTTATTAAGAGGTACGGAAGGAGAAGGGATATAAAAAAAAAACTAGCAATTAAAATGACTTTATAAATAGGAACGTGGAATATTCAAGGATTAGTAACAAAAAGTGAAGTAAAGTATATAAAAAACGTTTCGATATGAATATATAATAGTGGCTCTAGATAGAAATAGAGAGCTCATAGAGCTCATAAAGATAATAAATACAAAGAAAAAAGGAAAAGAGACAGAGGAAAGAAATGGATACGTACATCTACTATCGTAATCTTAATTAATCGTAATCTAATAAAGATTGTTTTATAAAAACATATAACAATCAATTCATAGAAGTTACAGCAACGAAAAATATTCTCATATAACAGGCATAATCACAGTAGGTGAACTAAAATATCTTGAAAACCGAAAGAAATTATTAGAGAGCGGTAAAACTAGGGCAAGGAACCATATTTTATCTGTACTCTTATATGAAAATCACTATACAAGAAGATAGTCACCGATGGAATATTTAACTTCTACACATTTACGTTATTTATTAAGCTTATAAGAAGATCTCTTCTACACGTCATCATGCAAGGAAGAGTAGAGTAATAAAAAGGCTTGAGAAGAAAGAAAAACTTTTGGCTGAGGAATATCAGAAATTGGACATGTTGGACAGATATTTTACGTTGCAAAATAGGGAAGTGTTTAAAGAAGTGATCGCCAACCTTCGTTAAAAGACGACACCATAAGAAAAAGATAAGAAGATGTACTCAGATATCAGATAATTTTGTTATTCGTTAAATGTACAAAAAAATATTTCACAGCCTAAACATAAGTATAAAGCAACCAGCGAACGAAAGACGCATGTTCAAGGATAAAGGTTAAAATAACCCAACTAATAGAACAGTTAAACGAGCACTATTTACAAGGTTATGAAGGGTATAAACACAAAGAAGATGATAAACTTACGAGTAAAGAGCATGCTAAAATCAAGACTATTGTCTCCAAAATCAATCCTCCAAAGTAATGACTCGTTTTTACAATGTGGACATTTAATCTTACGGTTCACGACTGTTGCAATTCTTAAGCTCACTGCTATTTTATCTAGTATTAATCTTTAGCAAAACGTGGTGGAAATGAAATTGGGTCTTGTCTATATAAATACTTTATAAAGGATGTCCTGATCAGAATAAAAACACTTTCAAAACAGTAGCTTTGACTGATTTACATATATATATATATATATATATATATATATATATATATATATATATATATATATATATATATATATATATATATATGTATACAGGTTATATATTAAATGGCCAAATATATGGCCTAGGAGGACAAATTTGCTAAACTTACCGTGTTCGAATAGGTATCAATAAAGTGTTATGATCATTTCGGCCTATCCCAGCCTTATCAAACACGTGGGCTGATACCAATTCAAACTCGGAAAGTCCAACGAATGTCTCCCAAAACTTCACTACAGCGTAGTTAGCTTACAAAGGCGCCCCCTGCTTTGGCGACCGTGAACGAAACGATATGATAATATCGTTTTCTGTATCCTTTGTGCTAAGCTAACTACGCTGTAGTGAAGTTTTGGGAGACATTCGTTGAACTTTCCGAGTTTGAATTTATATGAGCCCAAGTGTCTGATGAGGCTGGGACAGGACAAAATGATCATAACACTTTATTGATACAGATTCGAGTACGGGAAGTTTAGCGAATTTGTCCTTCTATGCCATATATTTGGCCATTTAATATAATAAAGCAATAGCGGCTTTCGGTAAAAAATTTATTCTTTTACACATTTCACATAGCACAAAGAGTACAGAAAACGATATTATTATATCATTTCGTTCACAGCTGCCAAAGCAGGGGGCACCTTTGTAAACTAACTACGCTGTAGTGACGTTTTGGGAGACATTTCCGAGACTTTCCGAGTTTGAATTTGTATCAGCCCAAGTGTCTAATGAAGCTGGGATAGGCCGAAATAATCATAACACTTTATTGATACAGATTCGAGCACGGGAAGTTTAGCGAAGTTGTCCTCCTAGGCAGTATATTTGGCCATTTAATATATTAAAGCGATAGCGGCTTTCGCTAAAAGATTTATTCTTTTACATATATATATATATATATATATATATATATATATATATATATATATATATATATATATATATATATATATATATATATATATATATATATATATATATATATATATATATATATATATATATATATATATATATATATATATTGGAATAATAATAGATATACAAGAAATTAGCATAGAAATATTATAATTTTTAATAATTAATAAACTTAAATAGGTGTGTAAAGGGGTAGTGAAGCGCAATACATGATGTCGTATCCTGTTGGCATCACTTAGCCTCTCCTACTCAATTTCTATCTTCACCTCCAAGCTGGTACACACCGGTAACCTGAGCAACCCCACTGGAGACTAGGTAACCAACCCCAGTGGATTGTTGGGTCAGGGCGGACGAAGAAGGGAGCCTTAGTCCTCCGATGAAAAGGGAGTTGAGCGAAGGGTTAACAACCCTTCCTAGTAGAACTCAATTGTTGCGAATACAATGGCTAATGGAACAAATGGACGCATCTCACAACGACGAACTCAGCACAGAAAAATGGACATGATTATGGATTTGAAATGATGGAAGAGCCAGGGAGAAATTCATAACAATAAATTCTCAGTATGCTACTCCGGAAATGAAATGAGACAAGGTGAAAGAGGAGTAGGGTTTATATATATATATATATATATATATATATATATATATATATATATATATATATATATATATATATATATATAATGGCTATACACCCCAACGTGGGGTTAAACCGCAAATGCTTTCTAGATCCTATTTCTTAAGTGGATCAGTCTTTTTTTGTTTATCTTATCTTCTTGACAATATCTCTCCATTTTTTCCTGTCTCTAGTTCTTCCTCTCCATTCACTGACTCCTGCCCTTTGGAGGTCTTCTTCAACTTCTTGCAGCCACTTTGATCTCGGTCTTCCCCTTCTCTTTCTTCCTCCTGGATTCCATTCTATCATTGCGTATGTCACTGCCTCGTCGCTTGCTCGCCAAATGTGACCTAACCATCTAACTCTGCATTGCTTTATTTTAGTTACAATGTCTTCCTTAAGTTCTTCCTTAATTTCTGCATTTGTTCTGCTTCTATATTCATTTTGCTCTGTTCTGATTGGTCCTAGTATGGTTCTCATAATCTTTCTCTCTGCAATTCTTAAGTCTTCTTCATCTTTTTTAACCATCGTCATTGTTTCCCCTGCATATAATAATATTGGTCTAATTATGGTGTTATAAATGCTCATCTTGCTTTTTTTAGTCAGTGTTTTGCTTTTAAGTAATCTTTTGTTTGCAAAATAAGCTTTATTCGCTGCTAATATTTTTTCTTTTATTTCGGATTTCCTTTCTCCGGATTTACTTATTGTAACTCCTAGGTATTTGAAGTATTCTACTTCTTCAAACTCGGAACTTCCTATTTTGATTTTTTCCTTCATTGGTTTTTTCCCTAATCTTAATATTTTTGTCTTGTCTTGATTTAATCTTAGCCCCATTACCTCCCCTTTCTCTCTTATTTCTTCAAGCATTTCTTTCATTATTTTTCTGTTCTTTGCAATAATAGCAATATCATCTGCATATGCAATTATTTGACCACCTCTTGTTCTGAGATTTCCTTTATTTATATTTCGCAGTACATATTCTAATGCTAGATTAAATAGCGTTGTTGATAAGGCATCTCCTTGTTTCATCCCTTTATTTATACTGAATTCCTCTGTCTCTCCTCTTTGTGTCTGTATGCTTATTTTTGTAGTTCTCATTGTCATTTCTATTAATTTTCTGAGTTTATGTGGAATTTTTAATTTTTTAAGTGCTGTCATTAATACGTTCCTTTTAATTGAATCAAATGCCTGTTTGAAGTCTATGAATAACATTTCCAATTCTAATTTATACTCGTTTGCTTTTTCCATTATTTGTTTTATTGTGTGTATTGCATCTATTGTAGATCTTCCTTCTGTGAATCCACATTGGTACTGCCCTACTGTCTTCTTTGTGATCTTTGATAACCTCTTTTTTATTATTGATGTCAATATTTTATATGTTGTATTTAGTAATGTTATTCCTCTATAATTTTCACAGATTTGTTGGAGTAGGGTTTATGGTAACCAAAAAACTGCAGAAAGCCATTATCGCATTTACACCAATATCAGATAGAATTTGCACCATAAGATTTAAAGGTAAATTTTATAACGTGACAATGGTTAATGTATATGCACCGACGGAAGAGGCTGATGAAGAAGACGTTAAAAGATTCTACGGAGAACTACAGGATGTATGTGATAAAATCCAAAGACACGATGCTGTTATAACGTTAGGCGATTTTAATGCTAAACTGAGGAAAGAAAAAACGTTTGCAAATATATTTGGGAAACACAGTTTGCACACTGAAACCAGTCAAAATGAACTCAGGGTGGCACAGTTCACAGCAGCAAATAATTACGTAGTTGTCAGAACTAACTTCCAGAGAAAAGATATTCATAAAGGAACATGGAAAATACCAGGAACTAACGAAGCAAATCAAATTGACCATATACTCATCTCAAAAAGATGGGCAACAGACATAACTAATGTCAGAACGTATCGCGGGGCGAACTCTGACTCAGATCACTATCTTGTAGAGGCAAAATTACGGCAGAAAATATCGACAGTAGCAAAAGGGAAAAATATTCAAATAAAAAATGGAATGTCGA